AACAGGGGGAGGGATGGAGGGCCAGGTCCACGTGGAAGTGGAGAGACCGGGGATTGAGGCAGAGTTTGCAGAGCAGAGCACCAAGGCAGAACCGGCGAAGCAGGAACCCATGATGGAGCCGGCTATGCAGGGAGCCAGAGTGGGGCCGGCAGAGCACGTGGAGCTGAGTACCACCACGGCTGAGCAGACGGGTCCGAAGATCCCCACGGCAGAGCCACCAGAACAGGACAGAAGATCACCAGGCCAGAGCAGACAGAGCAGAAGACCACAACGAAGCAGATGGGACAGAAGCCCACCAGGGCAGAGCAGGCGGAGCAGAAGCCCACCAGGGTGGAGCAGAAGACCTCCACGGCGGAGCAGACAGAGCAGGAACCCACCAGAGCGGAGCAGACGGGACAGAAGACCAGCAGAGCATAGCCAAAGACCACCACGACAGAGCAGACGGAGCATTGGCCCACCAGAGTGAGACCACCACGGAGGAGCAGAAGACCACCATGGCCGGAGCAGATGGGACAGAAGCCCTCCAGGGTCGGAGCAGACGGGACAGAGGCCCACCAGGGCAGAGCAGAAACCCACCAGGGCGGAGAAGAAGACCTCCACGGCGGAGCAGACAGAGCAGGAACCCACCAGGCCGGAGCAGACGGGACAGAAGCCCACCAGGGCGGAGCAGATGGGACAGAGGCCCACCAGGGCAGAGCAGGCGGAGCAGAAGCCCACCAGGGTGGAGCAGAAGACCTCCACGGCGGAGCAGACAGAGCAGGAACCCACCAGGGCGGAGCAGACGGGACAGAAGCCCACCAGGGTGGAGCAGACAGAGCAGAAGCCCACCAGTGCGGAGCAAAAGACCTCCACGGCGGAGCAGACCGATCAGGAACCCACCAGGACGGAGCAGACGGGGCCGGGACCCATGGCAGAGACTGGGGCCTAGGGAAAGCAGAGACAGACAACACAGGCAGTACATTCATGGTCTCAGGGACCGAGGCAGGGACCACAAGAAGTTCAGAAGTTCTCTATGGCAGTGACAGGGTTAAAAGTTCAAAGGCGGGTCTTTGGGCTGTGACAAGGCCACTAGAGCCTACAGGAAGCTTAGATAAGGTTTCTGGGGTCGTGACTGGACTATTGGGGCAAATAACAGGTTCATTTGTTGCGACTAGATGGACGGACAGTTCACAATCAGCCTCCATGGCTGGTTCAACACGAGACAGACGGCCTCCATAGCCGTTACAGGACTGGCAAAGGGATCACAGACAGCCTTCATTGCTGTAATAGGACAGGCAGAGGGATCACAGACGGCCTCCCTGGCCGGAACAGAACAGGACGAGAGTTTATAAGTGGATACCACTGACACCTCTGGAGGTTCTGCAGCAGATGACGCCACCTCTGGAGGTTCTACAGTAGTAACATCAGGAAATGGGTAGAGTTCATTAATATCCTCCTTAACAGAACAGGTACAGTGTTCATCCACGGTTCCTTCGACCGTGACATGACGGGGTGAAAGTGTATTGCTGGGCGCCACCACCATACAAGGAGCTGAAGCTGGAAGTTCTGTGGTAGTGTATGCTGCCCAAACACACCAAAAAGCGATCCCCATCATGGGAAGTGCTGCAGACAGGGGAATCAGTACAGGAACAGAAGGGCTAAAGTGAGTGGATTTGGGGATACCAGCTACGTGTGCAGACACCAGCGGTGCATCCCTCACACTGGATACCAGACTGGGATACCGAAGGACTGACCTTGATAATCTGGGTGCAACAGACAGGACGTGACAAGACTCCAGATGATCAGCTGTGATGTGACAAGACTCTGGAAGGTCAGCTGTGATGTGACGTGACTCTGGATGAATAACTGAGGCGTGACGTGACTCTGGACGAACAGCTGAGACGTGACGGTGACGTGACGTGACTCTGGATGATCAGCTGTGACGTGACGAGACTCTGGAAGATCAGCTGTGACGTGACAAGGCTCTGGCAGATCAGCTGTGACTTGACTTGACTCAGGAATGGAAGCTGTGACTTGACTTGACTTATGAAGATCAGCAGTGACTTGACTTGACTCAAGAATTGAAGCTGTGACTTGACTTGACTCATGAAGAACAGCTGTGACTTGACTTGATTCATGACAATCAGCTGTGACTTGACTTGATTCATGAAGATCAGCTGTCACTTGACTTGCCTCATGAAGATCAGCTGTAATTC